AAGCAATCAAATCTTTTGACACTTGGGATAGTACTACAGACAATGTCATCAACTTTACATGAAGCATTCACTCCAAGGGAATGCACCATTTTACCAGTAACATAAATTACAAACAGTGGAGATCATAGTACAACTCCAGATATGAATGTTTTATTTTGTCCGGGTTCGAATATTACAAGTTGCTACGACAATCGATCACCAGATAAATGAAGTCCAGGTGTCTGATCTTCGAACTAAACCACCTCAGGCAAGCCATCTCCTGGAAGTAATATAGGTTTCCAGGTGCACTGGTGAGTTAACTTGTCAACCATAAGAAAAATAAAAGACGGGGGAGTTAAAAAACGTCTGCGGTGAGGCAGTAGATTAGGGCCTGATCTTGTTGAAACGCCAGGCCCTTAAGATCTAATGAACCAGTGGGTAGAGGGACATTTACTAAAAGTGGAATTGACCCATCACAGATACAGAGTCACGCCTACAGTTGGAATCCTTGGTGTTCAGTGAAAGACTCGAGAACTGAGAGTCGAGATCTTTGCTAGTAGCACGTCCGCGACTTGCTGATGGTTTTTGAGTTTGTTGTTGTTGCTGATACAACACTCGTAGTCTTCCAATCTCTTTTTCCAACACTTCTTGTTCCACTAGATAATAGAGAGAACTCATGAGGTATACAATCTTAAGAACCGTTGAATCTTGATAACTAGCTAATATTAACAAACTCATACTCTAGACTACAGTTTGAATCTAAAGAACCTCAAAGAAACTTTTTTCAGATGGGTGCAAGAAACTTACACTGTTTGATAAGCTTCTCCTGAGCTATAGTTTCAAGTCGCTGCTTAAGAGCTTTATTTTCCATACTCAGAATAAGATTTCTCTGGTTGAGAAAATCAAGTTCAGCTGAAACTTTGGAGCCTTCTGCCTATAGACACAAAAGGAATTCCTACTTCAGTGCTTCAGAAATTGTAATCTGATACATATTTCACTTACTCTCTCTTTAAATGTAAGATTTTTTGAGCCTTACCTGCAATGTTTGTACATTTCTTTCTAGCTCAGATATGTACTGGAGCTTACGGACCCGTGATCGTTGTGCAAATTGCCTGCAGGAAGCAGAAACTAACCATGTTATGATACAGAAAAATTAAAGTCCACAATTACTAATCATTTTTCAGAGCTATCAGTATAGTTAAGAGATCACATACTGTTTGGCTCGTTTTGTGTTGTCAGCTTCATAAGTCACAGGCGGTGGATTAGAGTTGTTTTCCTCAAAAGATAACATTTTCGGGTCATGAGAAAGAGGTTCGGCATAGTTCTTTCTTTCTGTTATTACTGTTGCATCTTGAGACATATATAACGATCCCATGTTTTTCCCGCCAGCACTCTCTCGAGCGAAAGGTAGCCAAGAAGGACGAGCGCCAGATGCCACCAAAGAATCCCGCTGTCGACTCTTCTGTTTCAGAAAATTAGCATCAGAGTAGAAAGCGGCATCCTGAGCATTTTTATTCCGGTCAAGCTCCTGAATTCCTCTGTGCGTGGAAGAAACCGTATTCCTATAACTGAAATCATTTTGGAGAGTCAAACTTATGTTTGTAGCATTAGCCACATCTAGATACGCGTAAGAGTCACTTGATGAACGCCGATGACCACATTTCCGAGCAGGGCTTTCTGGCTCATTGAGAAGATCATCAAGCCAAAAAGGAAGCTCTTCTACCAAATGGCTCTCAGAGGAAGTCCGCTGGTGGTGCGTTTTCTCATCACTAAGCTTCTGACCATGCCTTGAACCAATCAAACCACTTGGAATATACTCAGAATACGATGCTGAAACACTAGGAAACGGTATTTTTGGTGGGAGCAAAGCATGCTTTCCCGGGTACATCAAGTTTCTAACACTCTGTGATCCTTTAGAGCTAGCCATTGTCACCCTTGCCTGCCAAGATAACAGTAAAGATAAATCTGACTAATTAAACCATTGCATCAAAACCCACAAAGCAGATCTTTTTAAGCTTGGCCTAAGAACCTAGTAGCAGATACAGAACAAAACAAGCAATCCGAAAGCTAAGAATGCTCTTACTTGAAGGGAAAAGGTTTTAAGACAAAATCAAGCATAGATCAATGCAACAAATCTATAGAGCCTAAAATGTTTTATAAAACTTTAGTTTCTTTGTTTGGAAATGAAAAGCTCACAACACTATAATAACTGACCAATTCAGACAAACCAGACCAGACCAGACCAGCTCATCCCACTTATGTTGCTTTATCATTAAGCTATATCAATATAAACACTTGTCTTAGACACATAATTACAAAAAACTAATCATCTATCATCTTAGGTAATCAAACTTCTTACTCATCCAAGTTCATCAACAATCTTTTTCCATCTTCCCACATTTTCCCACTTATAATATCAAGAATCCATAAAAAGTAAGTCAAATCCAAAAGTTTCTTTTTTTAGAAACTATGAGAATCAGATAGATACAGATTTGATAATTGATTCTACTTCCAACTAAAAGAAGAAGAACAAACTAACCAGTCGGAGACAGATCCAAATCGGAGAAAATTTCAGAAAACAGAAGTTGAAAATGGTAACTCCGGCTTGTTTCTTCCACCGGAGATCTTCTCTTTGCTTCTCTGTCTTATCGTTGATGGAGAAGAAGAATCTCTCTTGAGTCAGAGGAGGAGGGTGATAGAGAGAAATTTTGGAGAATTTAAGTCCTTAAAAGTAAAATAAAAGCCTTCTCTTTTGTTTTTCTTACTTTTAGTATTTAAAAATTGTTTCAAATACTTTATTATATTTTACAATTTGACCCCGATGTTTAATTTCCGCGGATTTTTGATTCAAAATCAAAAGTTTCAAATACTAATTTAAATTGGAACAAGCTAGAAAAAGTCTATTTATTTCCCTTTTAGTTTAAGGCATAACTTGCTTTTTAGTAATTGTCTCATTAATCATGGAATTCTTTTTTTTTTTTTGGCCCAATTGAAATGTAAAATTAAGTTATTAGAGGTACAGATATTCTAGTTTCGCTATAAAAAATTTCGTTAGGATGAAAAAAAAATAAGAAATTTTGTTAGTTACTGTTAACATACTCGTTTCGTTTGCTGTAGTTGGCTTTGATCATTTGAAGCGGGGAGGTTTTGTTTGATAATTCTATTTCGTTAGAGATCATGTTTTATAGTCTTTGCTTCTCGTTTGCGTTTTTTTAGCATTTAATTTTGATATTTTATTAGTTTTTTTATAATTTAAAATCTTGTTTCCAATAATATTTAGTTATTCCATTATTAATATTATATTTTTGTGGTATGTAGAATTAGTACTAGAGAGAAGCTGAATTGTATTCTCAAACAATGGCATAATATGTTTTTCTTTTCAATAATTTATTATATTATAAAGTTGTCGTGATTAAAAGTTTTATCTACAAAAGAAAGTTATAATATAGAAAAGAACATAGATAGACAAAGACATTAATCTAGTTACAATTTACACGTCATAAACACTACCCAAAATGAAAGAGGATCTTTTGTCGAAGATCATGTTTTTAGCATATGGGCCATTTATTTATTAATTTTATTTATTTATATAATGATTGGTGAGTTGGAATTGATCTGTTACCTAACTTAAAAGTGCAACAACATGGGCCAACTTGTAGTTTTTTATTACATTTATAAGTTCACAAAACATTTATATATTTATAAGTTCACAAAATGACAAAAACAAAAATGTAGTCTCAAATTTCTATTTTCTCAAACATGTCTCTCATTAACTTATTTAAATCCAAATCTCTTGTTCCCAATCCAGTCTGTGGCGGCCCCAATCTTTCCACAACCTTATGATGTCCATTATTGTTAATCACTGTGTTAACTAATCATTAATCACTTCAATTTTTAAATATTCCTACTTGTTTAACCACTTTATATAAATAATAATCACATCTATATCAAAGACTTGACCAATAATTTTCTACTACTATTCTTAGCTCCTTGCATATATGTATTTATGAAGCTTGCGTGTATTATTTAAAGAAAGTGGGACGAGAAATAGACCATCACTATAAGAAAATTATTGCATGTTGATGAAAAGTAATAGATTAGTATGAAAAATAAAAAAATAAAAAAAGTGTATTGATAATCCGTAAAAACTAATATAAAACGTGTAACAAACTGTAGCGAAGTAATTCGTAATGGAAGATTTTTAATAACTACATAAAAATCGAATTTAGCCACGAAAATTTATGTGTTAAACACTTCTACATCTATGATCTATGTGGTTAAAATGTGAATCGTTACAGATTTGTGAGCAACAACAATGGGCAACAAAGTTTTGGAGCACTAAATGGGCAACAACAATGGCTAATAAATATGAATCCTTCGATATTTGTGGATAGTAAGAAGCTTATGATATCTTGAAGAAGCAAAAGTTTTTATTGCAAGATGCGTTGATGTGGACGACCATCGATTTTCTGGCCTATGCTGGTGGTATCCAAGTGGATGATGTATGAATTATGAGACATATCTTTTTAACTATCCTGCAATGGGAAAAAAAAAATTGATTAATTTGTTTTAGAATGCTTAACACAATCTGTTTAGATTTTATCCCACGGTTTTTCATATATGTGATCCGCCCTTATTGTAGTATTATCGAGACAATGGATTTGGATTGTTTCCGTTGGGTCGGTTATGTTTACCCATATTTCGAATAAACCTATTAGAATGTTAAGAATGTCCCATATATATCGGAGGACGAAATATTTTATATGGGACATATGGTCTAACATTTTATATGAGTTTCTCCACTTATTACCAATTGCTTTTAGTCCATGATTCCTAACAATTTGTTAGTGTTTTTCCTTTCGAAAACTATCCTTACCTGTAAATGTTAGACCATCTTTATTGATGGTCTCTTAACACAACTCTTAAGTTAAGAGATATGTCTTATAACTAACAAAAGTCTCTAAGTTAAGAGACTTTAAGAGACTTTTGTTAGTTATAAGACATATTTCTTAACTTAAGAGTTGTCCTAAGAGACTATTGATAATGTTGCTCTTAGAACTTTCCGAACAAACACACCCGTGAAATAATCCATCTTCTTAATTTACACGTAAGGAGGTTCTCTACAAGCGAATTAACCAAATTGAAAGGCTTTGTATATACGACAGTCCACTATGAAAGTAATGAACATGAAAATTCATTGAGCTCAATTGATGGATGTGGTGATTACCATAATGAATAAAGAAGAGTATACTTTGGTATTTGTTGTATTGGAAAGATCAACTCAAGCCTAAAATGATGGCAGCATGATTGCATATATTTATACAAATGATAAGTAATAAATGTATTTTTATACGAAATGATTTAACTACTTGTAAATGTGCAACGAGTTTATTGTTTCACCAACCCTAAAACAGAGTCAAAACAAATAAGAACTGAAATGAGTTAGCACTGATGTGGCCATACCCTAATAAAGGATAATGGTGAGGTTACTTGGAAAAGAAGTTAAAAGCCCCCATGAATTTAGAGGAAAATATCTTAATATAGATAGAGGCATGGCGTAAACAGAGGCTCAAACAAAACAGCAAAGCCCTTTATATTTTCAATCTAACTCTCTCTCATCTATTGCGAGAAACAAAGAAAGCTTAACCCTCAAGAAATCAAACCCACAAAAAAATCAAATTCAATAAAACCTCTTTCTGCTCTTCCTCTCTTTTTCATTCCCATATGTTGCTTCCTTGAATTCATCTCTTCTCTTCCGAAAGAATGGGGAGCAACATCTGAGGATCCATTTGATTACCATACATAACTTATATTCAAAACAAAAACATATCTTTGTGTGTGCGCGTTAATGATGAAATAGCAGATTGAGAGCAAGAAAGAGGTAATAGCTGATAACCGCAATGGAGATTCAGAGGATGAGGCAGTTGATGTCTCTTTGGTCTAATTTGAAGAGTAGCCGCGTTTCTCTCACCGGTGGGAATCATACAGCCGCAAGGTTCTGCACTCGCTAGGCTCGCCTCTTCTCTCGCTCGCTTTTTTCTTTCTTCTTTCTCTTCTTCTTACTTCCTTTTGATTCTCTTTTAGCTCTCTATTCTATTCTCTTCTCTTCTCTCTTTCCTTTTCTTTAACTTTCAACTGTACATTTTCGCGCGCTCTCTTTGTCTCAGCTTTTAAGACATAACAAAAAGATATGGTGTTTGTTACTGTCCAAGACTTTCACTCCATGTGCCAAAAGCATTTTCACTACCTCTTGAAAAAGAGAGACTGCCCGAGCTCCTCTATAAGCTCTGCGGATACTTTCCTCAAGGCTTCTCGCTCTGAAGTCTTGAGTCTCTTTATGAGATCAACGCTTTTGGCTTTGTTGTTTCTGTCATTTACTTGGTTAAGTCTCCTCAAATATGGAACTTCTGCAACCGCTCCATCTAAGTCGGTTGAATCTGACCTTCCTGAATTACTGCCTTTGCTTCTCAACGATTTGGAGAAGGAAGGTCTCTTTAAGATGGGAGATAAAGCACTCTTCCTAAGTGGAGGAGATGATGAGGTCACTGTTTCTTCATACTCTCAAACAGTGATCGAAACTGATATGGTTCTTGTATCTGCAAGCAATCAGGAGATGCAGAGCATGGTCCCAGATGAGACCTTTGATTTCGCCTTTGCGCATTCTCGTCACATTGACTCTGCTGAATTTATAGACAGGACTCTTAAAGTTGGCGGCATCTTTACCGTCCAACTCAACCTTCAAGATCTTCCTCCAAATTTCTTGAAACATCCAAACTACGAAATAGTCTACGTAAAGAGCTCTGAGTACACGGTAATGACGATGAGGAAAACAGGGGAAACAGAGCATAAACAGAGCTTAGTCGCCCCCGGGAGAAAGCTTCTCGGTATCACAGAAGAAGAGGCCAGGGAAAAAGCTTTGAGAAAGCTAGAGGATGTTCTCCTTGAACCACCAAGAGCAGCTTCAAGGAAATCAAGAACTTACTTCAAACGGACACGGTACCTCCCGGACCTTATGGGAGACAATTTGGACCTCGAGAGCTACTCAAGGCGGGTATTTATCGATGTGGGAAACGGAAAAGGAAGCAGCGGAATGGAATGGTTTGTTGAAAATTACCCAACAAGGAATCAGAAGTTTGAGATGTACAAGATTGAGACGGTGAACGATGAGATGAGCCTAGAATCTGAGAAAATGGGCATGACGGAGTGGCTGAAAGAGAATGTCAAGGAGGAGGAATACGTGGTGATGAAGGCGGAGGCGGAAGTGGTGGAGGAGATGATGAGGAGCAAGTCGATAAAAATGGTGGATGAGCTTTTCTTGGAGTGCAAGCCAAAGGGTTTAGGGCTAAGAGGAAGGAAGATGCAGAGTAAGAGTGGTAGGGCTTATTGGGAGTGTTTGGCTCTTTATGGCAAACTAAGAGATGAAGGTGTTGCTGTGCATCAATGGTGGGGTTGAAGTTAAAGAACATGGAGACAGAACTGAGAAGAATATTCATCAAATCAGTCTCTTTTTATTCTATTTTATGATTTTTTTCCCTCTGTTGTCTCTTTTTTGTTTTTGTGTGTTAATTTGTAATCATCAATATGTTGTTTTGTTTTATGTATTTTGTGGTGTTTAAGTTTGGGATCTGATGAGCTTAATTACATATCTTTCGTGTTTTCTTGTTGAAAATTTTCGTTTCTTTTTCATTCCACTCACGTTTTGATTTCAACAAAAAATTATTGTGGCTCAACAAGAGTTAACAGATTTTTTTTTTTTGGTAGGGAGAATTAACAGATTTTGACTGTATAATAAAAGAGCTCTCAAAATCAATTATGCATTTAAAGACTATATATTTATGAAAATAAATTTTAGTATTTTTCTATTCAATCGATTTTATGCAAAGTTTTCAAAAATTTTGTGTGCTCATGTTATTTTTATGATTATATATTTATCTTTTTTTTTTCCGAATATTATTATTATTATTATTATCACTAGGTTATGAACTCCCGCGATATCGCGGAGGAACTCATTTTCAACAAATATATTTGATTGTGTTTATGTATTAAATTATTATGATAATATATTCAAATATAAGAATTATTATATAAAATTAACTATGTTTTAAAGTTATATCATAAATATTTTCCGAATATATTAAAACAATTTATGAATAAAAATGTAAAAAAGGAGAATTATGATTAAAAACACTTTTGAAACATTTTTTATGAATGCAAAATTATTTATAAGTGACAAAATACATAACAAAGAGTTATAATATAAAGATGAGAAATTCTAGCAGGTCATAACCTAAAAATTTGGATGGAGTCGGTACTCAGAATGACCTGTGGGCGACTAAGAAATTCGTCCGAGAATTGGTGTTTTTTGTTTGCCCACTATTTTTTAAATGTAAAATTAATATTTATTCTATTATATCTATTCAAAAAAATTATAAAATTTGGTAACATAAATTATCTATAACAAACAAATAAACATTTACAAGATCTCATAAATTTACATTTATATTGATAAATTAATTGAGTAAAAAAACTTCTTCCTTATATATACATGTGACGAATTGGAATCATTGTTATTTTTCCCAATAATGAAGAAGATTTCTGGATTACTATACCATTTCAAACGGTTCATTTGTCGCTTACCATATATTTCGTATATGTAGCCATGCAATCCATATAATACGTCATATAGCTTAGTATCATTTAGTTTACTTGGTATATGTGACCAGGTGTTTCCGTTATACTTCATCTTAGCTGGCAATATTTTTTCCTTTATTTTAACTTAGAAAAAAGTAATATTAAATCAGCAGATTACTAAAGTCTAAAACTTGTCTTCTAAGTTAATGCTTTTCTGCTGAGATAGAAATAAAGAAAACCTAAAAACTGAAAGAATCAATTTAGAAGAAACTGAAAAGGCCAAAGAAGAAGAAAAAGAAAGAGTCATTCATGGTAGATTTGATGAAGGGGAAACTGCATTATATAGGACATAAAATAACGAATCGTTCAACTTCTCCGGCAATGGTGGCATCTGCTTCCATGTCTCAGACACATTCTCATTCAAACTGTAATATCAAAAAGAAAATTAATGATATACGTAAAACAATCAAGAGAATCAAACATAGACATCATGAAATACTTACTTTTTGATAAGGCTATTGATGTTCTCCCGGATTTTGCTGAAAAGGTCCAAGTTTTCTGTGGGCTGTATAAGAAAGAAACAAAAAGGAAAATAAACCAAGCTTTCTTAGTGATTTTAGTATCTAAACTAAATTGGTCAATATACTTACGCTTAAGGATGTGAAATTTGCACAAATCTTATTGAAGCATTGCTCATTCTGTTTCAGAAGCTCGTTGTCAACCCCTACATATCATTAAATGATGGCTCTTTAAGAATATTTCCATATCTTTTTTTATTGAGAATTAAATATCCTAAAATCTTGAAGATTCGTTGAATCAAATAGATACTTAATTACCATGTTGAGATGGTTGAAACACTTGTGAAGCCACCACCATATCAATAATCTCCTGAAGAAATCAAAGGTAATACAGAAATTACATAAACAAGATGTGGTTAAACCTAAATTTAGAAGAGAGAAGAGAGAAAAAAAAAAATTTAGAAGAGAGAGAGATAGATTCTATGACTAAACCTTATTGTCAACTCTGGCTCTTCCCAATCCATTGTGATCTTCTTTTCTTCTCTTGGCGTTTTCTTTATTCTGCAACAAAAACAAAATAAACCCAAAAAAAAATCAATGATTAATTAATTATCAATCAAGAAACAGAGAAAGAACAAAACTTGACGAAGAAGAAACAAGGAGAAGACTTTACGTAAATCCATCTGCTACGTATAGCAACGTCCCTGATGGTCTTGTCATGAAACCATGCAGCGATTTTCGAATAACGTGTAACAGCACTACACGATTCCCACGAATAACTTCACGAAAGACAAAACAATATCAGAACAAGAAGAAATCAACAAAATCGTAAACCTAAGTTTGATTCTCATGAAACTAAAAGCAAAAAATTTGGTCGTAAAGAATTCACAAACCTATCAAGGAGTCGAACCAGACATTCGTCTTCTTCAGAGGTCCAATTCATGGCGATTTCCGAGCGACTTATCAACGATGAGCTCTCCGACGGCGTCGTCAAGTTGTCGTTTGTCCAGGGAGGATTCTCCATCAAACACACATGCACCAAAACCACCTAACAAGACCAAAGTGAAGAAACAAAATCTAAAGCCCTAGTTTCTCGTATAAATAACGAACAATGTGTAAGTGTGCGGATATATAGCTGATATATACATAAATGAAAAAAATAAAAATATGAAATATTTAGGTAATCTTGAGAATGATAGAAGAGTTGTACGGAAATATCAAAGATATAATTATAAAAATAAATAAAAAGAACAAAAAAAAAACGTAGTCGACGAGATTTCTTTTTTTTTTTTCCCGAATTATTTGGTTTATTGATATTTCAGAGCTACAAACGGCACAAAAAGCGGATTAAGGAACGTGTCGGAACAATAAGGATGAGCTGAGGACACGTGTAACTTGCACAACCTCCGCCGCATGAGACTTCAAATCCGGTGAATCTTAGAACGTCGCCGGAAAAACTAAGCCGAACAACGAATCTTTTTTTTCTTTTCACCGATTATGGCAATCACGAGTATCAGGACAAAACATCAATATACTAATTGATAAGTCCACTCAAATTGAATCTCTGAAAGCTTTGCAACAGCACGTCAGCACCAAAATGAACGTTATTCCTCTTGATTTCTTTCATGATCTTTGATTTTTATTTTTATTTCTTTCGCGGTCGAGTAAATGATAGTAGTATAGTACTAGTAGTACATTAAAAAAAAAAAAAAGCGTAGACAAGATTTACGAAACTCTCAAAGAAATTACGAAAGTTTTTATTTTTTCTGTCTAAATCAATTTTAATTTCTTTTTTTTTTTAACTGAAATTTATCTAATTTGACCCAAATCTTGGGAAAAATAACTAGATTGACACCCAAATACTGTGGTTTACTAGAATAACACAATTTTTGTGTTAAAAGACCAAATACCCATTTTATTTTCAATTCTATTAAAATAAACTAATTAACATATAATAATTTTTTTAATTCCTCCATTTTATTATTTTATTTTAGGATAAAAAGTGGAAATATAATTTATCTGTACAGAAGGTCAGATGTGTATGCATGCATAGGCACAGCTTCACTATTTATTTGTCAATTATTTAATTCTTCTATGATTGCAAAGACAACTAAAAATGGTCTTATTAAAATATAAAAACTATTTAAGAGTTACAAAAGCATTAGATCATGACCCGTGGTGTATAACACGGATTAAATTTAATTTAGTACAAAACTTTATATCTATATATACATTTTTGAATGACTTTTAGCAAATAAATCCTGGAGTTGGACCTTATTTACGGATGAATGCCATTGGCATTAATTATTTAAATTTGAAAAATATTACTTAAAGATATTACCAATACGATTTCGAGAATCATAAATTCATATCTTCCTTAATTTTCTGAGTCATTAATGTGATAATCTTTAGGAAATATTTCTCTGTAAAAAAAAAAAATCCACATTAATGAAGGCATTAAAATCGACACTAACAATTAAATTATTTAGATGTTCAATTATTTTAAGATTCTTATATCTTATTTGATATTTTTTTTTAATATCTCATTCTTTAATTACTGCGTTTAGAATTTATTGGTTGTTACCTATTTTTTGGTGAAATTTATTGGTTGTTACTTAATAAGTAATTATGGTGCGTTTATTTTAGTTAATATCTAATTTAAAGGATTTGTTTTCTTTTATTATTAATAAATGAATAACATGTATAGAAATAAAAGATTTTTTTTGCGACTCCATAATAAAAATATTAAACTCTTATTTTCTACATTTCTTACACATAATATCCTCTTATTCAATAACAAAAAATATATATTACATATTTTTAAAAATATTTATAATATTTAAATTATATAAAAAATTTGTAATATTAATATTATTTCAACTCTATACAAATTTAATATATATGTATATATATCTTATGGGAACCATTTAAAAGAAATTTTTAAATTGACTTGAATTAAATAGCTTTTAAATAAAAGTATTATTAAAAAGAAAAATAACTAAATAATGTTTAATTTCACGGGACGGGTAATATGATGGGACGGGTTTGGGTTGATATTTATAAAAGATCGTATACCACGGGTGAATCCTAAAATTAACAATCAAAATAATCTATCAAACAAATTACATTTTGATTTTTTTAAGAAAATATAGCCCCGCGGTGTACCGCGGGTTAAATCTAGTAATATATATTTTAGAATAAATTTTGGGATAAATTGGTAGATAACCTTTGACCAGAAAAGAATTAAAAAAATAGTCTTGTGTCAGATTTTATTTCA